CTCAGGATCTGCGCCTGTTACTGGAAGGTTGCCGGTTCAAATCCCGCGGCTGGCAGAGGAATCCTACTCCGTTGGGCCCCTGAGCAAGGCCCTTAACCCTAACTGCTCCAGGGGCGCCGTACAATGGCAGACCCTGCGCTCTGACCCCCTGCTTCTCTCTCCCTGTCTGTGTCTCCATGGAGAAAAGCTGGGGTATGTGAAAAGACGAATTCCTAATGCAAGAAATTGTATAGGGCTAATAAAGAAACATTAATTAAACATTTTAAAAAAAACCACCCATGGGTTTTTTTTAAGGAAGAGCCCTGGATGTTCATTCCCGCCTACCTGTTTCATGTGGTCGTTGAGGGCGATGCGCATCCCATTCTTGCGGCTCAGCATCTCGCAAGACATGAGGGTGTAGAAGACCCCAGTGCAGGCCAGCGGCAGGCAGAAGTAGAACCCAAACAGCCACCAGTCCTTCACGTCCTGGTAGAACTGCAGAGAGACAGACCACCGTCAGCAACCCTCCCCCGCCCCCCAGCGCAGAACTCCAAACTAGAGCTCTCCCCTGGGAATCGGGGATAAAAAGCGTAAAGCCGGAGCTAATTTTGCCATAAATATTTCAGGTGTGAGAGCACATCTGTTATAATGACACTGAAAGTGTGGGGTCTACACTGAGACAATTATTAGCTTGGAACTTTGAGCAAGACAGGCACCTTGAACCATTTTTCAGGAATGTGACCCACTGGGCTGCAGTGAACATTTTTGCCAAACATTCTGCCTTTTATGCATCATTGTTGCTTTTGGAAACGTTTTCTGTTTCAGTTCCTCTCTGCTTCAAGAGAACTGCTCGTATTTTTTTGGTTGTTGTTGTTCATGACTGGACAGTGATGGCCTGGGATCGATTACTGCTGAGGAGCCTGTGTTAAATGTGGTAGGAGACCATCTGCGTGCATCTGCTCATAAAGCCACGCTTTCACAGGCCCATGGCTTCCCAGTGGCTGAGCCTCTGTAGATCCAGAACTCTCCAGGGCTGGGAAGGAGAGACATACTGCAGACTGCCTTCAGAATAATCACTTTCAAACCAGCCCCTGAAGTTAGTTGCGCCCCAGATCTGCAACAGATTTATGTTTTACCTTTTAAATTCAAGAGAATGGCCTGTCTCTAATGAAGGGAGAGACCTATGTTTGAAATATTTCCTGTTCGTCATTGATTAACTGCCTCTGTGATAATCTGGGTTTTTATTATCTGGAATAATTACTTAAAAACAGGAAAACACAGTAGGCACAGTTTAACCTCAAAGGAACCCTGGAGTCATTCTACGACCTTTACTGCATGTTTCCTCTTTCCCATTTTATTATTTCTCCTTGATCTGCAATTTTAAGGTCTAGGTTTGTATTTCAGCCCAGACAGGGAGAGTAACAGCAATTTAACCTGTTTTGGCCAAAGTGGCCTGGGGAATATGTGCACCAGTACATAAAAGCAGACAGATAGTAGCCTGACTAGCCACAACATGAATGAGGGTTATCTATTCTTAAAATCTAAAAAGAGAAAAAGGAAACATAACCTTTCAGTGGCGGATGAGGTCTTCATGAAAAGTACTGTTGTCTATCACATGTTTCATTGTACTTCTGTGTTTTGTGCTTCTGAATTGGGCACTTTAACTTGCACTGCACTGAAACCTGTAACCTATACTATAAATCAGAGGTGACAGTTGTCAGCTTAAAGTGAGTATCTGGGGTTACATCTGTTTCCTCTTCAACTTAAAATAGAGGAAATTCAGGGGGGATCCAACAGAATCAAGAATATAAGAAAGTCACGATGAGGACAACTCCGCTACTTCAGCATAAGTAATGAAACAAGCAACGCTGGACAGGATGTTCATTTAGGACTGAAAACAATGTAGGTCTTTACACCAAAAGTTGGGGGTGTCAGGAACCGATTCTCTTGCCTTTTTGCTCAAGAATATGCCTAAGTATCCTTCTACAACTGGACAGGGGAGATCCCCAAGTAAAGAGGCTGCTAAAAACCACCTGGGTAAAATGCAGCCAGCCCATGATATTCAATGTACAGTGTTGCATGCAGGTAGAAGCAGCACAAAATCCAGACAGAAGACGAGGAACTTGAAGCTGGTATATACTGAATGAAAATGCAAATATTTTGTGTTGATATCATGGGAACCATAATTGTCTCCAGGCAATGTGGGAAAGCAAAACAATTTAAAAAATGTAATAATACTGTATATTGGTAGAAGTGTTCTACTCAAATCTAGGGAAGCTGTACTAAAGTTTAAAACACACTAGTAAGACGTCATTAAGAATGACAAGGGCAATTTCAATTACCACATTTCCAAAAACAAATTCCTGCTCTGGATTCAGTCTGGAGAAGAGCAATCGGACAGGAATGCCCCGCACAGCAGGCTGAAGGGACAGAATCTTCCTAGGCTTGAGGAGACAGAGAATTTAAGGATTCAAAATCCTCCGGGGCATTATCAGAATTCAGAACCAGCAGTGGAAAAAGGAAGCAGTGCGTTTAAAATGCAAATTAAGACGAGGAGCAGGAGGCCTTTTACCCCAAGGATTGTGGGAGTCTGGAACAGCTTAAAGTTGATCAGATTGATGCCCTCTTTTTTCTCAAGGATGGGCTTGATCCTCCAATTGGCTACCAGCAACCAAAACGAGCTACTTGGGCCGCATGGCCCAGCGCTGGGGAACCTCTCTTGCGGCCTGTGTGGAACCCCGGCGTCCTCTGGTGCCGCCCCTGTGGCGTCCAGCCCCCCCCCCCCCCGTACCTTCATGAAGCTGGAGTCCTGGTGGGGGTGCAGCAGGCACACGCGGAGCTTGCTGCCGCGGTAGGGCATCTCCATCATGTCGAAGGCGATGGCCTCGGGCACAGCCAGCAGCACAGCCGCCACCCAGATGAGGGTCACCTCCACGGCCTTCCACAGCGGGATGCCCATCCCCTTCACCCGGCTCCAGGACGTCACCGCGTGGTACCTGCAGGGGGCGACAGAGAGGCGTCCTGCATCCGGCTCGGGAATGGGGCTGCTCCGGAAGAGCGTTCCTTCTAGCTTCTCTACCAGTTATCTATAGGACACGTGTATCTCGCTGTTGCACAACTCTAGCAGGCCCAGGTTTATCTGCTCTCTTTAATCATTTGTTCTCTGGAGAGTCAGGGTAGAGGTGTCCTGCGGCCGGCCGCTTGGCCAATTAGAGAAATTGGATCACCAATAAAATAGTTTCAAAAAGATAGCAATGAAGGACTCTGGGGAGAAAGAAGGCCAGGAAGGCGGTAACTCTGTTACCTTTGAGCCCTCCATCAGTAATGATTTACAGCACATGGAGGGAGGAATGCGTCAGCTCAGATCAGGCCCAGTCATTTGCTCCCTTGCGTCTGCATCTTGAAACAATGCAGACGCGCAAACGCACATCGCAATTGTACCTCCTTCAGCAGTTCGTAAAAAAACAGATCGTAAGCCCCAACTCTAAAAACCCGTGTGAAAATCTACTCATAACACCATTACACCAGCAATTTCAAGAGCATCAGTGAGCCACAAAGGAGGATGTTAATTCTTCCTTTATATAATCATTGTTCTGCAAATAGGTGCCCAACCAAGATCTGAACCCACAACCTTCCATTTCTGAGTCCAGAGCCTGAATCACTCCTCCATTCTGCTGTAATGAGCAGGGATGTCAGAAGTACTCCCATCGTGTAGCAGAACTGTGATTCATCTTTTCACTTTCTGGCTGTTGAAATCTTACTCACACCCGTTACTTTGCGTAAAATCGCCTCTCCCGGGACCTGTGGTTACCCTGCTGCTGTGCAATGGGAGTCTTCCTTCTTTCCCAGGTAAGCTGAGGAAGTCCAGCTGTAGGAATGCGAAGAGACATCGAGGCTGGAGCTGTGACTCACCTGTCAATGCTGAGGGCACAAAGGCTCAGAACTGTAATGCCCACCGAAGCTTTCTGGATGAAGGGCATCAGTTTACAGACGTGCACTCCAAACGGCCAGTCTTCTGCCAACAGCTGGAAAGAGCATAGAGGAGCTGGGGTCAGGCAAATGTGAAAGATGTATCAATGCACAGCTGGATTGGAAAATTGACCTCAGTTGCACATACTGTACAAATTGCCGCACACAAAGTACAACACAGTTCAGCTTGGCCTGCACAGAGCCCAGTGAGACCAGTAAAAATGTAATAGTTAATGTGCAGGATGTGCAAGCCGATATGTAGTGTCCTCTGATAGTATTGGGACAGCAATTTCAAAACCTGTTTGCTTTAGAGTCAAGCAATTTGTGTTTGTGATAATTTTATGATGATGAAATGTTGAACTCAATACAATATGGAATAAACTATTTGTCTTGCATAACACCATTCTTGGCTTATACCTCCTTAAATGAAAGCTTAGTGAAGATATTTGCTTTTCAGCAAACGCACAGCCTGATACTACGCAGATTAGAGAAAAGTGACCATAGGTATTCTTGGACTTAAAGGAATGTGCTAGGCTGACAGACTGAGGAACTCAACCTTTTCAGTCTTGAATGGAGATGTTGACTATAAGGGGGTCTGATTTAAAGTACTAAATATCCTCAAAAGCGTGGAGAAAATCAAACCTAAGGTCTTCTTCAGGATTAACAACGAAACACAAGTGCAAACCACAGGGAAGTGCGCCTAAATGACATCCCAAACTGGGGGCAGACATGCGCTTCCTCAACAAACAAAAAAAAGACAGATTTAAATTTATGTTCTCTCGGTAATTTGACGACGTAGTCGTTTCCCAAAGCGACCTGCGCTCAGATCTGATGGACAGTTTCTGCCTCTGAAAGCTGCTAGAGAAACAGAGGTCTGTGGGTGAGAGAGTGAGGTCAGGTTTTTATAATAGCTCTTCTTACTACGGCAGTAAATCTCTCGGACCAGGAGCTGGGATCACATGTGGCACTCTGCAGAGAGCTGTCCTGGAGGTGAAAGGTGTTGTTGTTTAGACAATTAACCAGTCACCAGGAATTAACGACGTACGTGATGGCCACACACTCGCGCCTTTGCTTCTTGTGAGCGCAGTGACCCCCCCAAGAACGTGCCTGTTTGATTTAATGTTTAAAGGCAACTGATCTGCCTTAATACGCAGGAGCATCTGCATGAGTTGTCACTCTGCTTCGATGGTAATACTTTGTACGAGACCCACTGGGTTGAAGCCAGACCTGCACTGAACTGCAGCGCATTAGGAGCCTCTGACATGGTGGAAGAGGTCCTGGAAGGGACCATCTCTTTGATGCTTCACACCAGCATGGACGGGTTTTGCAGAGATACCATTTCTGAAATTGCAGGCAGGGTAATTCAAGATGAGCTGGAATTAGTAGCTAAAAGGACGAGAGCTGCTACTGGGACAGGCTGTGAAAGCTGTGGCTGAACTGCAGCTCCTTACTAAAAAAGATCTTCTACACTGACTCTGTAACAGATCTCCGCCTTGACCGGCAATGCGGTAGGGAAATCTGCACACGGGTTGTCCCTAATATTGTGGAGCCTGTAACAGAGACACGGTGTAACGGTGCCTTCCAGCACTAATGTGAGACTGTATTCATTTTTCCAGCAGCTGACACAGCTTACAAATAAGTCTGTAACTCAAACAGAAAAGTGTTCATTTTAACCCGGACTGCTTTTTTTTCCTAATGATGCAAGAGATCTCACCCTGAGACTTTGATAGGGATTTTTTTCTTTTATAAGGAATTGTTATTATTATTATTTGTAGTATTATTAAATAATTTCCTCTAGTTAATATAGCAGATAGAATGTCTCATCGTCGCCCTCTGGTGGCTCCACCCACAGTTCACCTCCCCTTCCCGGCTGCCCCGTTGCAGACTCCCGGATGGGCGGTCCGGGTTTTTGGGGAATAGAGAGGACGAGCTCTCGGGTGCGGACGGGAGTGGCCCAGCGAAGACGGAGGACGGAGGACGGAGGGGGAGGAGAGGCACAGGCAGTCTCCGTCCCCGGTCGCGAGCCGCCCTCCCTGCCTCACCTTGAAGACGTTGATGGGGATGGCGATGAGGATGTACAGCAGGTCCCCGAGGGCCAGGCTGGCGATCAGGACGTTGGGGCCGTTGCGCATGCACTTGTTCTTGTAGATGATGCGCAGCAGCGTGGAGTTCCCGATGATCCCCACCACGAAGATCAGGCAGGACACCACCGTGTTGACGTACTTGAACGCGTGCTTGATCTCCGTGGGCTTCGCGCACATGGGGGGGAAATAGGAGCGGGGCGGGTTGGACAGCCCCGGGACGTCCGAGGAGGCGTTCCAGCCCGGGGACCCTGCCGCGCCGACCCCCGTCAGGCCCCTCCGGCCCGGCCCCTCCCGGGGGCTGCTCGGCGTGGTGTCCCGGATGAAGCGCGTGGCCCCCGAGGCGGCCATCCACAGCTCCAGGAGGAGGAGGAACACGGCGGCCTTCATTCTGTGCCCAGTGGCTGGGGAGCAGGGGGGGGGTGGGGAGAGACCAGGCCGCGGCGCGCAGTCCTGCAGAGAGAACAGCCCGGCATCACTCACCAGGCCTGAAGTCCTGAGAAAGCGCTGGGGAAACTGTTTCATGCAGCTAAAGTGTTTGGCTGATCTTTGTCACTCTTAACTTGTGTGGATTTTTCTTGGCAGGGTGGCATGGTGGTGCAGCAGTGAGCATTACTGCCTTACAACACTTGATTCAATTCCACCTGGGGTGCTGTCTGTGTGGAGTCTGCATGTTCTCCCCTTGTTCCCGGCTGCTCTGGTTTCCTCCCACAGTCTGGAGACATGCCGGTAGCCTACATGGCCTCTGTTAAAACTGGCTATGGTGTGAGGGTGTGTGTGTCTGTGTTGGTCCTCTGATGGACTAGTGTCCCACCCAGGGTGTACCCTGCCTTGCACCTAGTACTTGCTGGGAGAGGCTGTGGCTCTCCTGGGACCCGGAATTGGAAGAAGGGCTTGGAAAATGGCTGGATTTTGTTTGGAGCTTAACTGTTTTCCCACCTCCCCTCCGAACTCAAGGGCTGGAGGCTGGAAATGCACGGAGTGAAAAGGCCTGGGGGATTCAGAGTGCAAGTCCTCTGCAGAGAGTGTGTTTCTCAGCAGCCATCCCTGCACTACTCAACACCCCAGGGCTGATTCTGCCGGGTGCGTGCCATTCAGCAACACCATGCTGTATAGCACCGTACATCACCATGCATAACGCTTCTCCTTTTCAAGAGCTCCCCTGAGGAGCAAAAAGCATTTCCTTGCTCCTGAAGGACCGCCGCTTACATGGAAAGCTAGATTCCCAGTGATCAGCAGTGTGAAAACACTTTCTGGAAAGTCATCATTCTGCAACTGTACAATTCATTATGCACCACTTGTAGCTGCTGGTGATCCAGCCTGGACTGGTGACATGTGGTTTGGAAAGAGTCACTTAGGAAATACCTTTCCTGCTGAAAAGTTTAAATAGACTACAGAAATTCTTACTGGTTTTATTTTAGGTTTTCGGGCTTTGCTCTTACTGGTTTTCACCAGCACAAAACAAAGATGTTTATGTCCATCACTTACAAAGGCATCTTACTGAGAAATAACATTGCATCTAATCTAACCACTATCAATTTGTTTTGGTTGAATGCAAATCTAACACAAAACTGAGAGGCTGCAGGGAGCTAGCAGGATCTGCTACTCTATGTACTGGTGCACGCCACAATGAACACATGCTCGCTCGTGTGCAGACCCGTGTGCATCCTCCAATTACTCCCATGACCGGGATCATGGGACCGAGACTGTGCGGGACAGTGCTACCCCTGCTCTCCAAGGCATCACAAGTTAGCTCTCACTCTGCTGTGTGCTTCTTTGTCTCTGAATGGGACGATTGACTGTTTCCAAACATCTGCAGGGCAAGCTCGAGCCCCCCTGGCATTCGGGGCTCTGATAAATATATTGTTCCACTTACAACCCAGAAAAAGTCTTGCCAAATACCCTGGGGACAAAACTTCCACACATCTGCAGAAACCTGAAGGGGGGCTGTTAGGGGGTCTTTTCTGTATTGAATTCCAACAACCAACCACAAAGGTCATTGAGGACTCCTTGTGCATTTCACACTGCCCTCTGTTTTTAGTGCATCTTTAATTTTTGTGGTGCACATAATCGGACACAGCTACACAGCTCAGCTGGAGTGCTCCTCAGTAGTAAATAAGCTGTCATCATGAAGCTCTTGTGTGGCTCTCGCCCTCTCCTCCCTGACAGCAGGCAGACGGATCTATTCCTGCCACCTGCTCTTGAACATGCTGCAGTACTTGACTCCAAAGAGCAGAGGAGCAGAAGGCTGCTCCCACCCTGCTGACAGGACTCCACTGGTTATTCCCAGTGAGACAGGAGCAGGAAGCACCAGCAGACGTGCCTGTGCTATCAGCTGTTAAACCTGAGCGCACTGAGCCAGGGACGTGACACTTGTGCACATCTGAGCTGTGATCCGACAGCAGACCACCTGCAGTACTGCATGTCCTATAAACCTGCCATTAGCTGCATCAGCTGCTAAGCTCATATTTGGTCCCGAGGGATCATCACATTGCTCAGATTTACAACTTTGTTTGTCAAAATGACTTAAATTTTCACATGATTCAAAACTTGCGGTGGGACGCCTCGGACCGATCAATAAAACTAATAAGACTAATAAGTCATTTTACAACAGCGCCCTGAGCAAACCCTAGGACACGTGTGGCCTGGGGCACGTCCTGTCATCACGCTGAAGTGATCTGTCTCTCCCCTCCAGACTGGGTCTGGGGTCTGTCTCTGTCTGCTCCGCTGCAAGGCTGGAGGTCATGACCTCTGTCGTTCGTGCCTGCGAGACTCGGACCCCAGCCTTTCACGGAATCGGGATTAATGCAGAGCATGCGGTTAGGTAAGGGAACACCAGTTTTCTCCATGCACATCAGTAACTGGTAACCAGTAGGTAACTGTGGCATTTCTTTGGTCAATTTAAATTCATATTACATTTTGTTGTTTTTATAGCTGTCAAATTGTAATTCATGTATTGCCACACTCTAAAGCCTACAGCACTTACTCTACCTTGGTATCAAAATTGACGACCCGTATAATACATTTTGGTGAAAACAGATGGCATGTTTTAGTGGCTCAGAGACTGTAATAAAAGAAAATCTCATTCTCTTCATTAGTGCCAGATTGTGAGGCAGTGCTGTAGGCCAAGCCTGTATTTAATGTGAAATTCTGCCAGAAGTCTGAGCTCAGTGAGTGTTGATAAAATGATTCCTTTGATGGAGAGGTTCTGAATCCTAGTCTTTAAAACCCCTGAGCCTGCTGTATTGTGCCCCCAGAGGATGACTCCATTACTTAATTAACACCTTAATTATTTCCTCAGCTAGACCAATTAAACCCTCGGCTATAACAAATGAGTTCGTAAACTGCTTTGAAATTTCAAAAAGCCCATAAAATGTGCACACAATAAGATGTTGTACAAGCTAGAAACAGCTAAAAGGCTCCAATTAAATAATTAGTTCAATTAAGAACTTTGGGCAAGGATCTACATCCGAAAAGACTGGAAGGGGGGGAGTTGAGCGGAAATCTGTTTGACACGCACAGGGGGTACAGTCAAAAAGACACCCCAGGAACAGACAGACAGCCAAGGCCACAACCTGGGGAGTCCCTCCCAGCTCCTGGAGGCCCACTGTTATCTGTTTACCTTTTCCATCTGGGATCACAGTTTCACAGCTGCTCTAATTATTTATTTAGCTGTGTAACTGTGAATACTTCTAACCTGGCTTCTCATTGTTTTATTGATAACCTTAACTTTACCAAAGTTCTCATTAATCAGCTTTAAAAGACCTTCAGAATAATCATTCATAGAGTTACAGTTACTAAAACGGGTTGATTAGCGAGCAGCCATATCACCCTGCAACTCACCACTGGCAGCCCCACTGGAGCTCAGCAGGTGTGAGCCTGGTCAG